TTAAGAATTAAATATTAAGACTATTTAAAGAATAATAATGCATACAATAACTGTAAGTAAAATGCATTTAATTTTCATAGGTATGAGAGACTATAAGGCAGATAATACAGTACAGTATTGGCTCTGAAGTCAGATGGTCAAACTGCAACTCTACCACACCTTATTGTATACCGTTAGCAAGTTACAAACCTCTCCAAACCTCGATTTCCTGTGAAGCGGGATAACAGTTACATTTATGATTACAAGGTTGTTGTGAGGATTAAATACATGTAAAGTCATGTGCACAGTGGTTAAGTGCTACGGCTGCTAATCAAAAGGTAAGCAGTTCAAATCCACTAGTCGCTCCTTGGAAACTCTACGGGGCAGTTCTACTCTGTCCTATAGGGTCACTATGAGTCAGAATCGACTCGACGCCAACAGGTTTTGTTTTGTTTTGTTATTTTTATCACAGTATGAACAATAAATGTTAGGTATTACTGTTATTAATATCATGATATGTATTAATTAACTAAAGCCAATATAACTAGAAACTTCAATTAAACAAATACTGGTAGTTTTCAGCTTGATGGCAAAAAGTTTGCTAACAGTAAAACAGCAAACTGCATTGTTTAGACTCATTTGTTGCTATACCTTAATCCCAATCTCCTTTGTCTTAAAAATCCAGAGCCATAGTTCTCCACAAAGAAAATTAAAAGATTCCATTCCCAAGGTATTCTAATTAATTAAGGCTTTGCCTTAAGAATTGTTTTAAAGTCCATATTAAATACATAAAAGCTCTTCCTAAAATTAAGGGGAAAACTTAAAATTTAATTTTTAAATAAACTGGAAGTAAATGAAAGATGGAAGTAATATGTTGCATCAAAAGAACAAAAAGTACTTCACTCTTTCTGCTTAAAGACTATCTTTTGAAAAAAGTGAGACTAAATAAAAAAGTTTTAGTAGAACTTTAAACTCAGGATGTGTCTAAATGAGATAAAACTGCCTTCATGACGCATATAATGTCCTTGCAGATAATATAAATCCTTATTTAAGAAATAATCACTAAAATGTATTTCATTTTACTCTAAATACAAAACCGTAATCATCAGCAAAATCCATACTGTGGGAAACTCTAAAAGAATAAATAATTTGGTCTACTTAACAAATAAACTGCAGGAGGGAAAAAAGAGATTAAGGGGAAACCAACAGATTAAGAGACACTCTTTAAAATTTACATATTAAAGAAAAAACTAAAAAGACAAAACTATAGTGTTTAAAGATGCACACTTCGGTGACAAAACTTTAAAGAAAAGATGGTATTACCATAAAAGTCAGGAAAGTGTTTAGAAATCTTAGAAGAGGAGGAAGGAGGGCCTTGGTTTGGGACAGGGCACATGGAAACTTTCAAAGGAGCCGGTCAAACTATATTCTTCGTACTGGATGGTAGTTAAGTGTTCATCTTTTAGTAATTAATCAAGCTATACATTGTTTTATGTGAATTTTTGGTCAGTGTTATATTTTGCAATTAAAATAAAATACACTCACTCCTCACTTATCAACATGGTTAGGTTCCAAAGACCAAGTCATTATGTGAAAATAAGCGTTATGCAAAAATGGAGGATGACCACATCAGATCACAAAATGGAGGATGACTACCGTATTTTTATGAAAATAACACAGGCCTCCTACATTCATTTCCCAACCTCCTCCTCCTCCAGCGAGGTATTTTCATAAGCACTGCTATGTTGCTATAAAAAAATTCACATAGCGCACTTAAAAAATACCTTACGGGGGGAGGGCACGATTGGCAAACAAACGTAGAAGGTGCACGTTATTTGCGTAAACACACAGTACATCATGACATAACTGCCAAATTACATCATTACACAACTGCCAATCCACTGAGAATCCTGGTCCAGCCAAGCTGACACATAACCTTAACCTCAGAGCCACTGTGTTCTCGCCCCATACCTCAGTCTCCGTTACTGTTAGATGTACATCATCAATGCACAAAAAAGTCAGATTGTAGATTTTTTACTACTATTGTAAATGTGAGATGTTGGATAATAAGACAGTTGATACGTGAGGAGTAGGTGTATTTTTAAAATAAAATCACAATATAAAAGATTCACCAAAGCAGCGATCTTGTATTTTTTTTTCACATAACTGTATTTCTTTTCCAAATCCACACTCACACCCTTAAATCAAATGCATTGCACCTGAATTTTCACAAATGAAAGTTCCATGACACCTGAGCAAAGCCATTTAATAGACTTGCCTCTAGCCATGATTTAAGTCTAACATAATGATTTTGATTTTAAAGTTGTATCCTCAACATAAACATGTTTGTGCCAACCAACATACACAAAACAGTTCTTCATACAGAGGCATAGTTTACCTTTGGTTTCATATATTCTTTTATTTATCTCAGTCCCAAGAGAAGAGCCAACTTAAAAAAATAAAAAAATAATAAAAATAAATTTTAAAAAAAATTGTAGGGATCATAGGGAAGGTAAAAGAGAAGTAAAAATGTTTAAATCCCTCTTTTTAAAAAGGTAATGATGAAAAGGAAAAGAAAAAATACGAAATTCTACAATTTTACAAGTTCATTTGCCTCATGTATAGTGGAGAAAAATGCCTCGGAAAATTCTGAGTCATTGATAAAGAAGCAAGAACTCTTAACAGATTCCATGTGAAAATAGACATCACAAGGAGCTAAGCACAGGGGACAAGATATGAGAGAACCAGCAGGGAAAAGATTATCTACTGACTTGGGATTAGTGGAGCAGGATTCAACAGAATCAATGTAGTTCCTGGATGAAACCCACAGGAGAATGCTGAGTTCGATTCCTAAAACAGACTGGAAACAAATGGAGGTGATGTATAAGATCAAAGTGGTTTCTTTGGAGGGAGAAACACTGTCGTTTCATCCTGAAGTTTGATGGGAGTTTGGATCTCTCATTTCCTGAGTTTGATAGGCTTTGAGGATTGGCAAAACCATCAAGGAAGAAAATGCAATCCTCAGGCTAGAAAACCAGCAAAGATTCTAACAAGTCAGTGCTCCGTGTGTTATCCATATATCCATGGAGCCTAACAATCTCAGAGTGAAGTACACTTTGTTGATTAAATACAAGTTTCCTGAAAAGGGATGTTACTGTAGAGATAGCAGATAGTTTGCTGGATCTAGCTTCCACATTCATATTTGTATTCCGTCATTCCACTGACATACGGAGGTGGAAACAGACAGCAAAACTCCTGCTTCATTTCCTCTTTAACAAAGGAGTAAGAACTATTTTGCATTCAGAAAAACATTATCATATAGAACAGAGAAGTAAAGCCAAATATACATAGATGAGAATAAAATGAGTCAGGAGATTCTAAACCTTAGGTCTTAGGTAATTTTTTCCAACTATAAGCAAAAGGGTTCCATTTTCCTATGTCATACGTAGAAGAACGCTCATATTCTTTCTGCAGTAATGCTGTGATATAAATCAATCAACCATTAACTCAATCAGTCTTAACAAGGTTGTAATAACTTTCTAGAGGAAGTGGCATAACTATAATGCTTAGATCACTGTAAAAATTAACAGATTTGGTTTTAAGTCTTTATCAATTAGAGATGTAAAATGAAGTATTTACTGGAAAAATGCCCTAATGTCTAGAATCTACCTTAAAATATCTGATGCAAAAAAAAACAAAAAAAAGTGAGGGAGAAAGAAAACAAGATTGGTAAAAGGTAGGTAATTGTTAAAGCTGGATAATGGATATGTAGGGGTTAATTACAGTATTATTTCTACTTCTGTATATGTCTGAGATCTTCTATAATAAAAGCTTTTCTCTTTTTAGTTAGTATAAAATTGAAAAACCCAATTCTCTTCAGGTTGTCATTTGAATAAGACAGTGTAATTTATTTTGGTCATTGATTACAGGGTTTAATTTGAATAAACAGCTTTATTGCAGTAATATACTTACACTGAAAAACAGTGAATGAATATAGGCTTTATGTGAAAATAACTTGGGAATAATGTTTACAATACAATGTTTAGTAAAAAAGCAAGATACAGTATTGTAGATATGTATGAACCCAGCTATGTAAAAATATATATAAATATGTGCATAGGACAAAAAATCACTAAAAGAAAATGCAGCAAAATTTAAAGTTTATTAATCAGTGACGAGTATAAGGATGATTTTTCTTTTTTGTTATACTTTTCTATACTTTACAAGCTTTCTACAATGAGCATATATCAAATTTGTAATCAGAAAAAGAAAATCAATGTACATAAATAGCATCATAATTCTAATTAAACACAACAGATAGTCTGTACACTGTTTGGAAGAAAATAAACATTTGGCCAAAACTCACTATACTAAACACAGGGCAGAAAGCAGTCCTAAACTTGGGCAGCTTTTGGTCTCATATACCCTCATATTATATCATCAGTGGATTGGGAAAATATAAACACACATATACACACACACATATTCCAGTGCTCTGGTGCCTATGCTCAGGAGGTTTTTATTTGTGTATAATCTTTTCAGAGCTCACCTGACAAGAACCAGTATCCTTGGATTTCTGTCTCTAGTATTTTAAACTCCCTGAGATTTCCCTGTAGACCTAATAATTTTACTATTTTACCAGGGGAGAGTCTTTCTCATTTGAACAGAGAGCAACACATCTACTCCCAACATTTCACCTCTTGGTTCTCAATGTTAACCTTAAAGGTAAATTTCAGAAACTACTTTCTGTGGCATAATCTACAAAAGAACTACATGTAGCTATGTTAAATCTACAAAATATAACTTCAACAATTCCTACAGTACACTAAGAATTCTTTTTCTGATAGCTAACAAATGAAGTTTTCTTTCATAAGTAGGTGATAAACGTTCTTGATAAATTATGAAAAATAAAAAAACCTCAAAACTGAATACCAGAATTATCACTGAACATTGGAATTATAATCAGTAGTGTTTAAATGGCCTCAAAAAAATTTCGCCAAAGGGAGGAAAATTTTACTTACTTTAACTTCCACAGTCTTGCCTCCATGTTCAATGTGTCTCTCTGTATAGTCAGAGGACAGCAAATCACTGCAACAACAGAAAAGAAGTGATGATTTAAGAGCATCGTGGAAATGTAAAATATTTGAGAATCTGGATCAAGTTTACACATACCAGCTTCAATAATTCTTAAACCCTGATTTAAAAAACAAACAAACAAACAAACATAACCAACATTTCTGCTCCCGAGTCCTTCTCTCTCTTACACACACACACAGCCCACTACTTCTAAAGGATACGAGGTCAAACTGACTACACCTGTCACTCCGCTGTTGAGGAGAGCTGATCCCACTGATCAAGTCAGCAGTTCCAGAAAACTACCACTGTAAGCACAACCATTATTTTAAAGACATCTTATTCTTTTTTATTTGACTTTAGCTTCTTATCAAATAGTTTTAACTGACTACCATACCATTTTTTATGCATCATTTGTCTTTTATTTGTTAAATATTAGTTTCCATTAAAAAATTAAAAAAGGGCAAAGAAAGTTCAAGAAAATGAAAAGGAATGTACCATCAGCATTTTAAATAATACTCTTTTGAAATCTCTTTCTTCTAAACAATCTTCTTGTATACTTTTAAAATTTTTATATAATGTTAAATATACTTCACTTTATAGTCTATGTATGTGAAAAAAAATGTTCCCCTTTAATGCAGCTGTCTCAAGACATGGCTTCCATAAAAATTCTTAAAGTCTTTAAATTTAAAGCACTATGATATAAATAGCACTGTTGTTGGGTGCCACCAAATCAATTCTGACTCATAGCAACCCCATGTGACAGAGTAGTACTGCGCCATAGGGTTTCCTTGGCTGTAATCTTTACAGAAGCAGATCACCAGGCCTTTCTCCCACAGAGCCACTGGGTGGGTTCAAACTGTCAACCTTTCGGTAGTAGCCTAGCACTTAACCACTGCACCACCAGGGCTCTTTATAAATAACATTAGTAAATAAAAATAATATACCAAATTATAAGTTTCTACTGCAGCTCTATTAGTAAACATTGAACTAAAACTAAAAGTTCTTTTTCACAGTGCTCTCAATGTCACCAAGCCAAAACTGTGCCAGCCATATAAATAATGGGAATTTCTGAGCATATGGGCCCATTATGATAAGCACTATGCCTACAACTGCTCAAAATGTAAACAGAATGATCAAACAAGCATTATATTAATGTAGACACCATAATTAGTTTCCTGCAGTATCTGATGCCTCCACTACCATTTAAGACATCTATAATTATAATCTTACTCCGTGTTTCATTTGGCCTTAGAATACATTCTAATGACTGTATGGGCGAACCAGCTAGAATGCTCTCAGTTCAAGTAGCAGAAAACTAAAAATGTCTTAAAAAATCAGGATATTTATCATCTTATTTCCGGTTAGAAATTCCAAGGCAAGTGTAATGTGAATTTGCTTTTGACCATATTCAACTCTGTTAGATGAACAGATTTTAGGTTTATAAGATATAGGCAAAACCTCTTAAGATGTGTTAAGTACAGATAATGGCCACTAAGCAAAATATTTCTTAGATCATGGGCAGAATTCATAGGATGTGGACAGTATAAGTGGAGCCCTGGTGGCGAAATGGTTAAGAGAGCTCAGCTGCTAACCAAAACATCAGCGGTTCAAATCCACCTGCCACTCCTTGGAAACCCTATGGGGCAGTTCTACTCTGTCCTATAGGGTTGCTAGGAGTTGGAATCAACTTAGCAGCAACAGGTTTGGTTTTTTGGATGGACAGTGTAAGTAGTAAGAAGATCATGTATGTGTTCAAAGAGACAGAAAAGGCTGGAAGACAAAATTGTTTCAAAGTGATTTACTTAACAGTGTGATTCAAGCATCTTAATTGGTCTGTGGAGCATTTCTGTTCCATTACCTCTGGCATAGCTTGTGTGGCTGTGTACTTGGAGGCTACCACTGCATCAAAGTAATTTCCCACCTGACAGCAGGGCATTCCAGAGTTAATGTGATGATTCAGCACCATCAATGAAACTCGGGGTATGTTTGCCTTTCTGTTCTGTCATGAGCACGGTGCTGGCCTGTTCTCTTAACTGGCTCCTCCCAGGACCTAACAAGGCTGCTGCAAGTCTAAGCACCACATGCAGACAAAAAAAAAATCACAAGGTAAAAAAGCCTTGCATCTCCTTAACAAAGTGAGCAAATCCTTCACAAAAAATGCCCCCAATATTCATCTTCTCAAGAGTCTTCTGCCAGAATTACATTATATGGCTACACCTAAATCAGTCCTTTGAGAAAGGCATTTGGACAACCATGATTGTCTTTGAACAATCAAGATTCACCTCCAGGGGCCTGCCTGGACATCATGGCTACTCAGAGAGAGTTTAACAAAAGGAGGATGGCAGAGAGAATAACTGTCATATAGCTGACCAACCGTTTCCTTTATCATGGATATGTCAAATATTTCACAAACTTCCAAGTGTTTCTAACAAAACAGTGAAGCTGCATGGTAAAGACCTGACTCAAGCAGAACTGGCAACATCCCAACCTGTTATTTAAGACCATACCAAAAACAGGAGAGGCACCAGCCAGATGTGTGCAAAGGACTTTCCCTCAGCCTTGCTACCTATCTGAAACAACTTCCTGGGAAGTGAGAAAGAAAATTTACCACACAGAGGCAATGTTATTTAGCAGAGTCAGCCAGATTCCTTTTCTTGGGAAGCTGAACTAGTAAATTCAGAAAGAATCATCCAGCTGATCAAGGAAAGAGAAGCAGAAAGTTACAAGTAAGTACCCTGAGAGAAACTGAGTCATACCGATGGTGAATACCAGCATGAAAGCCCCACATCTACAGTGCTTAAGTCTGGATCCAGAGCTGCCCGTCCCTTATGCTGGATATCTATGGGACCCTTTCTCCGTCACGGCCACATGGAAACATAAAGTAAACCCCCATTATCGAAGGTAGGATGAATGAAATCAAAACCAAAACCTAACCAAACCTACTGCCATTGAGTCGATTCCAACTCATAGTGACCCTACAGGACAGAGTAGAACTGCCCCACAGGGTTTCCAAGGCTGTAAATCTTTAAGGAAGCAGATTGCCATCTCTCTCTCCAAATAGCAGGTTCAAACCTCTGACCTTTTGGATAGTGGCTGAGTGCTGTGATCACTGTGACACTGGGGCTCCTCAACTGAAATCAAAGATACCTAAATAAAATACTCCTCAGAGCAGTATTAATAATAATAATATTTAAAAAAAAAAAAAAACTTTTGAGTCTCCCAGGTTTTCAAATTTCAAAAGAACATTCCTTTGAATAATAAAATTTAGGGCTTAAGAGAGTACGACTCACTGCACAAAGGTAACTACAGCAAAAAGCGAAACAAAAGAAAAAAAACCCTCTGCTTAGAAATTCTACAGCTATTTCAGTCAGGCCTCTATATCTGCAAGTGTTGCTGGAAAGTACTCCACGCATTTTAAACCAAGAACAGCCCGTGCAATCTGGTTTTGTTTGTCTGCAGTATTGTGGAAGCCTGCTATGTATTATTACTTTAATTATTAGGCTGAAAAATTTGCTATTTAAAATGTCATTTTTCTCTCTACTGAACCATAAAATCCTTACTACCACCAACCTTAGAACGTAGGGATAATCAAAATTACCCTAAATTCTTTTCCTTAGATCATCCTTTTTTATCATCAAGGAGGGCTCTACTTAAATCATTTTAATGTAGAAAAAATGGAGGATCTCCTTAACATACAGGAATGTTTATTTTGCACTAAATGGATCAGGAAGAATTTACTCCATGTTGACAGTCTACTTAATAGTGATGCCTGAATGTTTCTTCATGAATTTTGAAAGAAAAAAGTACAAATGGTTATCAATCAATTCTAGAGGGCACTAGATGGTTTTAAAATTAGAAATGTATTCTGAGGACTTCTTATTTTTTTATGTGCATGGCAGAAAAAGCCTGGAATAAGTAGAACAAATACAAGGTAAACATTTCCCATCATAAAAATGATTATCCTTTGTCTAGTGGGCGACTGTCATGAATTGGGCAACTGATAGAGTACAAACATTTTAGAGTTTAAAATCTAAAAACGAAAACTTTATTTTCCATCTCTGCTGTCATTTACTTGCTGTGTGACCTTGGTCCAGTTACTTAATCTTTACAAACCTAATGTGTTCATGTCTAAAACACAGATAATAAAAACTACCTCATAAAGTTGGTATGGGATTAAACAAGAACATACATGAAATGTCTCCCAAATCCTGATTTCAATCATCCCACCCCCTAGTCACTGTCTCCTATCTATTCATCTTTCTCTGGAACTCTCACTTTAACTGTTTTGGGACTTTTAAGACATTGACCTTACTCTGTTTTCACTGTCTTTCACCTCCATTGTGTCCACCTAATCCAGATTCTATTCCACGATCCATCATGATAATTCACTTCTTGAACATACTCTAAACTTTCTTACTCCTTTCTACCTCCACTTGAACTCACCTGGAAAAATGTCAACTGTGGTTAAAAAAAAAACAACTTAACTTTTCTACTAATCAAAGTCTGACTCCAAGATGAAGAATATCCTAAATGTTCATGCTTTGAATACATGATCATGACCAGCAAGTGGTCCCTCAGCACAACACTACCCAGAAATCCTACTAGATTTTTCCAGTCAATTTACTTTGAGCAGATTCTTTCAAACTTCTCCTCTCTTAGATCTCCAAAGTGTACCAACACCCTGTTTCTCAACCAGTCTCTACGAGAAGATGTCAAACTCGACATGTCTAAAGCAGACTGTCTGCATTTGCACTGAAACCCTTTGATAACCTACCACCTACTGAGATGACAATTTATGCATGCACAGTGGGCCAACCCTGTCTATTTGTGCAGCACTTCCTCACAGTGGACAGAGAAACCTCCTTCCCTAACCTCCAGAGAATGCACTAACTGCTAGCACTAACTGGGAAGGACCCCATGGTCCCACAAGGGCTGTTGACAGACCTTGACCATCCAACACGAGTCACCCAATACCAGGGAAAGAACCTGCTTTCCTACCTCCACCCAATTCA